TATCTGTACCAGTGTACATCCTCTGGTCTAGCCAGACTTGCAAGGTAGAATTGGGATCATGATAGTGGGGCGGGGAGGAAGCATTTAGGAACTAGACGAAAGTTGTTTCATCATTGCTACATCGCACCCTGACTGGCTTGTCTCCCTCCACCCACCCACCCACCAAGACCCTTCTGTAAGGGGATGTCCAGTGCAAAGCCCCCTGGTATATCTAGAAATGTAATCGCTGGGTCATTTGCTAACAGTGCTTATATTTTTAAGGAATTATAAACTGTTTTCCAAAGCAGCTACCACTTTACATTCCACTAGCAATGCCTGAAGTTTCTAGTTTTCCATGTCCTTGTGAACATGGAATTTGTTATTGCTTGTGTCAAAGTCAGAGAAGGCAGACAAAATAAAGAAGTAGGCATCAGGTGTGGAGTCAGGCTCCAATAGCAACCCAGATGTGCAGATGGCACACCTTCCTAGCTGAGCGCGAGGAGGACTTGAAGCACTTGCTGATAAAGATCAAGGATTGCAGCCTTTTACGTGCAGAAAACCAAAATTCTCACTAGACCAATAGGAAGCATAATGATAACCAAAAAAAATTGAAGTTGTCAAGGATTCATCTTGCTCGTATCCACAATCACTACTCATGGGAGGAGCATCCGGGGATCAAGCAATGCATTGCACTGGATCAACCTGCTGCACAAGGCTTCAACCAGCGTATAGTCATGTGGAGGATGGAAAGTGAGTAACAAAGACCAAAGAAGAATTGGTGCATTTGAATTCTGGTGCTGATGAAGAATATTGAAAATACCATGGACTGCCAAAAGAATGAATAAATCTGTCTTGGAAGAAGTACAAGCAGACCTGTCTCATGCTCTTTGGACATGTCATGAAACCAGTCCGTGAAAAAGACCATGCTCGGTAAAGTGAAAGACCCTTGACAAGACGACAGACACCATGGTTGCAATGATGGTTGGAACAGAACAATGGTGAGGATGGCCCGGGACCGGGCAGTTGGGTTCCATTGTAACGATCAGTCGGAACCAACTCAAGTGCACCTAACAATGTAAACAGAGCCCAGTGGCATCAGGGGTTCTACACAGTGGGTGAACAGTGGCTGTTAAGCACAAGGTCAACATTTCGAACCCAGCAGCCACTCCAAAACAAGATGACCCTTTTTGCTCTGTGAAGATTTATAACCTTTGGAACCCCATGGGGCAGTTCTACTCTGTCTTATAGGGCTGATATGAGGTGGAACTCACTCAGTAGCAGTGAGTATGGCTGTTGTGGTATTTCATTGTGGTTTTGACAGTTTGCTAGAAACTGATGATGTGATTATTGGCCTTTTGCTTATCTATTCAGATACTTTCCCCATATTATTTATCTTTTTACTGTTGAGTTTTGAGTTTATTTTTAGCTATTCAGCATACAAGTTTCTTTGGTATATAATTTGCAAATATCTCATTGGAATTGAGAAGCATCAATTGTTATTTGTAGTCAATGGCAGTAGGTCTGAGTCTTCTACACAATGGGCAATATGATTTCTAAAGTGCCTTCTTATCCTGAAATTCTATGATTTCATATACGTTTTTGTTTTGCCAGCAAAGGGGATTAAAAAAAAAAAGCAGGAGTTCTGAAGTCAAAGCACCCTATGTACTAGGACAAAAGGAAAAACCAACCCCTTACAGAAATCCCCCCCAAAGTCCGCAACTGATCGCTCTTAAGTTTCCATAAATTATCTGTGAAAAAAACTATGGAGGCCTTTCGAAAAAGGAATATTTCCTTTTTTTAAATCACTTTATTGGGGCTCATACAACTCCTATCACAATCCACATATACCTCAATTGTGTAAAGCACACTTATACCTTCATCGCCCTCATCATTCTTGAAACTCCCTTTCTGCTTGGGTTCCTGGAATCAGCTCATTTTCCTTTTCCTCTCCCCCTCCCGCCTCCCTCATGAACTCTTGATAATTTATAAATTACTATTTTATATTAGGGAATATTTCTTAGTGGCAGTTCCATCACTATTTTCTCTAAATTACAAATACAAATATATAAACGTGAGTGCTGTCTTTGCCTTAGCTGAATCAAAACGATGCTTTACCACCTACTCCCCAGAAGCTGTCCAGGTACACACACAATTATTTCGCCCCCAAATGCACAGCAATTTGGCTAAAACAAACACTCTGAGATTCACACGAAGGACAAAGTGCCAGTGCCATCCCCTTTGCTGTACATCATTGCTATCTCCAACATCAGATGGAATCGTTTAGGAAAAGGATTACACTTGGACCCAACTGTACACACCATAGAGCAGTGGTTCTCACCTTCCTCATGCCACGACCCTTGCATACAGTTCCTCATGTGGTGGTGACCCCTCAGCCATAAAATTATTTTTGTTGCTACTTCATAACTGTGATTTTGCTACTGTTATGAATCAGGCGACCCCTGTTAAAGGGTTGTTTGACCCCCAAAGGGGTCGCGACCCACAGGTTGAGAACTGTTGCCATAGACAACAGGTAAGCTGGGGTAAATATGTCAGCAGAATAGAAATATGCTCGTAACAAGAAACTACAAAAAACACCAACAGAGTATTTCTAATTGCATCTTTTATTGAAAAAGTGAATTAAACATATATAAACGATGTATTTTTTATAAAATCCATATTATTGGTAAA